TCCTTATTTATGTGACGTCAGAATCTAAGCATGGTTAGCCATTTTCATGTCTAGGCGCTTGTAGGTATCGTCTAAGTCTGCAAAGCTGGCTGTTCACAGTGGTTTCTGCTAGTGGAGTGTCAAAAGCACTTTATTTCATAAATGCTTAGTGTTATCTTCAGAAGGTTTTGAGTGGACTTCGCTGAAATCTTCAAACGATGTTTTTTGCAGACGTGGGTAATTCAGCTGGCCCACCTGTGATGAACTCGGCCGCCTCGGTGGGACTAGAATCCACAACAGCAAGAGAGGTATCTGAGTAAGCCCAACCCTCTAAAAGATGAGTTTCGAGGTCCAGACCGAGAACCGTGTATTCAATCCCATGAAGTTTAATTACATTCGCCCTTTTCCGTCACTGATCCGAATCCTATCGAGGCCGCCCAGTTTGGTACTACTGACAAAGACGAGGGAGACTAGAATGGCCACTTCCGGCTTATTAGCCGTCGTCAGCCAGTCACACCATTCTGCCTATATCATGCGCCGCTGTGCGGCTGCTAGTTGGGCTCAAGAGAGAACCCGTAAGGCACAACGGACGAGTGAGTTCCGTAGAAACGATCAGTGAGCACCCCTATACAACCGCCCAGTTTTTCACAAATGCCTCGACTGAATCTTAAAACTACTCCCATAAATCTCCCATTTAATTGTCAATCAGTTAAAGGAGAGGCAAATTTTTGCATAATAAAACGAAAAAATCTTTTGCTGCCTCTTTACCCGTTGGTTGACTGTGCGATGCTTTTAGCCACATGCCAATTGTCAATAAGTCTTTACCGTTCGTGTAAGTCAATTGGTACTGTTCTTGGAAACTGCATCAGTCGACAAATCTAAGTAATACTGTCTTGGAGTATCGTAAATGTTGCAAATAAAAGAATAGACATATGTATAACTAACTGAACCAAGTTATTTCATGCACGGTCTTGTCATTGCATACTCTCCTGACGGATTTCGCGGTTCCATTAGGAAGAAGGAGCATCATATTTTACTGTATGCTAGTCACCGTTTTTCAATCATTATTGAGGGTGTGCTAGTCATATTACTGTAGTACCTTTTAGGCAATTATCTATTCGTGAAAACCAGTATTCGTAAGGGTGGACGATAATCATATCAAGAGGTTTGCCCATTGTCGTATTTTCTGAGGTGACGAGTATTCAAATACACATAGGAATGCAATAAATGCAATAAAATCTGCCAAAACATCTATAAAATGCAGTTGAATTCAGGACAACTGCAGTACACCATTGATTCGAAAGGAGCGAGTTCCAGCTAAAACACCATGTCCAATAAAAATGCCGTCAAACTCCTGTAGCAAGACGAGTTCGCTTTAAATACCCGCGACTGTACTGTGGAATTGCACCGAGTCCCCAGTTTGCGAATTTCAAGCGAATAAGGTTGATCTTTGCGATTGCAGAGGGTCTCCATATACAGACGCCTTCCAAAGCTTAATGAATCAAGTTTAGCTTCTACGACTATACCCACGCAAATATTGAAGAAGTCATCGTCGGTAGACTTTTTCGACCATTCATCATCAGGCCTGCAGGTCACGGTTGGGCGGCGGAAAGTGTAAAGGATCAAAAACAACCGATTGAAAGCGTGATGGGGAAGGGACTGAGGGTTGTCTGGACTTGCAAACCATGGGGGGGGGATTCTGTCTGGTGTCGAGGTCAGGGACGAGGAAGGGGCTTCATCGGGTTATGTGCCCGCTTCGTTGCCGTCACGCGAGGATGCGGGTAGGAATAAGAGGAGATCAGTTTGGTATAGGAAAATAGGATGAACGCCTCCTGCGTGTCATCAACTTGTGTTGGCTAAGCGAATGGTCACCTCCTCTTCCGTTTGGAGTGTACGCTGCGCAGGGATTTTGAGCGTCCTGCTAGCACTGTGCAGATAACTCGAAATGCCCAACTGACGATTACTCGGTGACTGTTATCGACTTGTGGAGCCAGTACTGTGCCGCATACAGGCTTTCATGTGCCCTGATTTAGTCAAGCAGGATGGCATTTTCGCATCCTCTTCGGTAGGCGTCCAATCACTCGACAAATATAACCTGCTACACAGGAGTACGTGGTGGTGTAAATGCATATCTGGGGGACTGAAAGGACAGCTCATCCGTACCTCCGGACGTAGAAAGGAAGTGCTTGAGAAAATTGCTCCTATCTTGGTGGCTGGGTACGTGTATGCAATAGCAGAGCTCAGGCAACGATGTAGAAGTTGAAACCGCTCTGCTAGGAATAGCTCATTCTTGTCAACAGTGGGCACACCCCTTCTAGCAGACTTCCTCCCACATATCCAGAGGCGAAATTTTCAGTGAAGCCATGTTCTCGCAGTGTTTCATATGAGGGCGACTTCGTTCTCCAGCCTACCCGCAGAGCACATTCTCCCAGCTAAGTTGGTTAGGCAGCGGACTGTGTTTCCTACCTTGCTTGCGGAGACAGAGCTGCATGTACTTTTGCATTGTTCTGCCCACGTTATTCTATGGAAGACACTTTTTTCGAAATGCTTGACCGCGCGTTCTGTTAAACAGAATATCCAAAATGAGATCGCACGATCCCTCATCTTATTTTATTGTGGCATTTAGAGCTGGGTAAGCCTGGCGTACTTTATCTAAGAGGCTGTCCAAAACCAGCTTCTCATCGGCTACTAGAGGCAGGTCGTCATTGAAGAAGAAGAAGAAGAAGAAGAAGAAGAAGAAGAAGAAGACACTATCGCCGGGACAAGAGCTTTATTAGCCTGACGTTTCGGATTCCTGCTCTAATCCATCATCAGAGACAAAAGCAGATAAGGGCGGTTCATGCATATGGGGCTGCAGTATTTATAGGATGCAGTAGCCATGCTACCGCATACCTATGAATATTCACGCCCCCCCCCCTACATCAGGGATCGTTGCACGTGGCGTGATGGCTGACATTCGCGTCGTTAATTGCTGCGATTTGATCACATGCGTTGAGTATTGGTGTGATGATTTCTCGACCATCTGACGCGCTGGCCCTGGTGCCGGGACGAGTGTTCACCTGTGCGCTCCCCACGCGACCAAGTACTCCGCCTAGGCGAAGTCTCAGCACCGAGTATTGAATGGGAAGATCACTGCACTTGTTAATGGACTGGGGGCCAGTAAACCATGACTCAAGCAGCTCCCCGCTCACGCGGTCGTCACCTCTTGCGAGATTTTCGGCCTCGTCAAATTTGAATGTGTGGCCAGAACCCGTCGAATGAGCCGCAGCTTGAGAGCTAGCGTCATTTCTCCGCACCGCTGCAGCGTGTTCGGCCATTCGCGTTCGGAGGTATGCGGCAGCATGGCTACTGCATCCTATAAATACCGCAGCCCCATATGCATGAACCACCCTTATCTGCTTTTGTCTCTGATGATGGATTCGAGCAGGAAACCGAAACGTCAGGCTAATAAAGCTCTTGTCCCGGCGATCGTGTCTTCTTCTTCAAGACTGCTTCCTGGGACTCGTCTCTTTGCTTCTATTGGAAGGTCATCATTATCATGGGCAAAGAGATCAAGGTCCCCCTCCTCATAGTTTTTTTTCATGTGACGCCCGGTAGTGATCCCATCTCTACGCTGTCAATCTGGCGCTATTGCTGACCGGCAGATCGGATTTGTATACTAAGTATTCAGCGAAGGGGCAGCTCCTATATAGTTAAAACTGGCATGCCAATAAAAAAAATCCCGCCTAAAGTTTTTCGCGCAAACATTCGTCGTCTCTCTAAAGAGTAGGCTGGTGCACAAGGGAAAGGCATCTAAAAAATGCCATAATTTTCCCACCTTATTTCGTATTTTTTGTGAATTTAATGAATTCAGAGCTGTTCTGTAGACTGCATGTCGTCACTTCTTTTAAAATTGATTCAATTGTTCCGGCCGACCCCCTAAATTTCGCGATATAGCGAGTTACACGTGCTTATATCGGCTGCATGGGGAAGGTCGAAATAGCGCACAATTTAATCTTAACGTTGTATGTATTTACGGACGGCGCTGAATGTTGAACGATTCAGGTTTATCTGGTAATACACAATTAGATATGTATTTTAATATGGGACAATAGTATTTGGGGATTGATCCTACTGATACCGTTCTCACAGACATAAACAGCATTCAACAATGAACTGGGAGTGGTGTTGTGGGTTGCCGCATTCGGGGGATACAGTATAGTTACATTTTAACCTAGCTGGCTTTTCAGATGAATGCAAAAACTAAACGGGTATTTTGATTTCAATCAAAAGAGAATTCAGTTTTCCACCGATTACCCCCGGAAGTGGTCCCTATCACCATGTGTCCTTACGACTGTGAATGCTGCCAAACGACGCATACGCACAGTCTTCCGGGGGGCCAGCACGCCACCTGGATTTCCTACCAGCCTAAATGGTGGAATCTGTTCGTCTACTGCACCCTTAAGGGTGCTCAGGCCGCCCCCTGCGTGCGGACACACGCATGCACGCATGTTTCCTAACCGCATGCGCACCTGTATGGTATTGCGTGCACGTGTATGTATCAAACTGTATCAGCCTGGGAGGGGGAACCCACGGGTGTTGCGATTTTTCATGCAAGGTGAGCGCGGTCAGATAACGAGTCCAACGAGTAGCCAGATGTGTTCGGTACATAAATTACGCCAGAAGGAGTTCGCAAAGGTTTGCACTGTAGAACAGGAAGGAGGCAAAACATTTCTCACTATACACGTGTTTTAGAAGACATTACAAATGAGGCGATATGATGAGGCTGAAAGGCTCCAGCACCTGGAAACAAGCTAAGCCATGGAATTGCTTCTCCTCATACCATACTACAAAGTTTCACGGCAATCTGGCGTATTGCCCGTAGAAGTGTCAAAGAATAAATTTATGCGCATTTGCCTTAGGTCCAGAAATATGGTAAAGGACTAACGAGGAGAAACCGGAAAATTATAATTGGGTTCTTACTTTAGCTTTACCTACAATAACATTCGCCTTCCTTTAAAATCCCATTAAGGTTGTATCGGATGGTATCAGTTGCTTCATTTATTGTGAAAGTCGACAGGAACAAGAAGGTAAGTGTCATGAATCGTATAATATCCTTTTGGAAGCGTCCAGAGAAAATATTGTCCGTAGTGAGTTGTTGGTATGATATTATTTAGTCGGTGATAACACTTGTTAGAGGTCACTCGCTCGCAGCTTCAGGGGGTCAGCGTAATGTTTTCCCCCTTTACCGGCGAAGGTACGTGAAGTTGACGAAATTTCCGCGAGCAATTTACGATTGATAGCACATTCCAAAAATTTGAGTTGGTTATTTAGTTTGCGAAGGGTTTCAAAGTAAACGTTACTGAATGATAGAATTTAGCCTTTTTCATCCTGAGTTATTCGAAATTAATTAAAGTGCGGTTTATATTTTTGAGTGTAAATTGGCTGTAAATCGCACATTAACAGAAACAAAAATTGCTGTCATGTCGCCCAGTATTAATTTCCACAGTCGGCGGACTCGGTATGCTCAAAATCGAGCTCTATTTAAAAAACACACTCTATCATCATAAGCCGAGCCATCCAAGACGAGGCAGACGCAATGGTGACGTTCGTTTAAGTTGTTTTACATTTAACCAGATTTAACCATCACCCACCTCACTCTCCCTTTCCACAACCACCATGCTTCAATTGCAAGATAAGGTTCAAATTGCTATAGGTGGGCGTGAGAGCTCAGCGCTATGCAAGCACAAACACCCCGTTTACGCATGCTTCACATACTCCGACTCTTAAATCGACGTGTAGCGGGCTCCATCCAGTGTTATCAAGGAAAACATGCAAGTGCTCGTCATTAAGGCCGGAGTACAAAGGAACAATAGAAGCCTGATTCCTAGTCTTCAGTAGGTCCGGTGTGCTGCATACTATGCCACGACTTTGATTTCTTCTAGTGGTTAAAAAACGCGTCTAGTTTCCTGTAGACTGCATTCTGGGCTCTGGGTCGATCGCGCAGTCCTCCCCCCCTCTCCTCTCCCAGTAGCGCGTTTGGATGAACTTGACAGGCGATGAGGCTGAGAGAAGTTACCGAGGTGACGTAAAGTTGCTGTGTCGGAAAGATCTCACATCGCACAAAGGTGAAGGCGTTAAAATGGCTACATTGCCTGGGAGCTATTGCAGGCTGATCCTCCTGCTAGAGGAAAACCGAATTATCCCGTCGATTGGCAGTCCTCCAAAGTGTTGCTCTTTTGCTCGTTGAGATAGATTCAAGTGCGCTGATTTGTCGCCAGGCAGGATTCACCGGCATTGACACCACTCTCTCGCTCCATCTCCCCATCTTCCCTCTCCAGTGCACCGGCCGGCTGTCACAGACTGTCAGCTGGCTGGCCATGGGGTGGACGTGCTGGCTGACGTGTTGCAGTGCCTCCACCCTTCGTGCTGCCCCCACGTGCCCAGGAGCATGCATAACAGTTCAGCTGACATTATCAACGTTGGCTGTCAGCATTGCGCGGGGCTGACATGTGATTGACAGATGACCTCATCACGCGCGTCCGCGACCAGATGGGGTTGATGAGGTGAACGGGCACGCGGGAAGGATGCTGGCTGAAGTGACAGGTGATATTTTGGCGACTGCTGGTGTGCTTGCGCACGGGACAAAGTAGGCCAATATGGTGTCTGAAAGTGGAGGTTTATTAGAACTAAAGAAGGCCTCAGTGACGGGTGTTGGCGGGGGCTTCGGAAACTATTTCCTCAGTCACGCTGCGATGGATTCGAGGGTGAACAATCAAGCTGATTTTATTTTGTAGTGCGCGGTCGCTAAGTGGAAACGTTGGCACTCTGTTTACATTCATGATGGGGATGGGTGTCCTTTGAGTCCTAATAGCGGTCGCGTTGTGTCGGGTACAAAGGCGTCTGATCGGCGTAAACTGGGACTGTTGCACGACGATCCATCAAGCACAGCCTACAGCAATGTCTACAATGGCGATGATGATGATGATGATGATGATGATGATGATGATGATGATGATGATGATGATGATGATGATGATGATGATGATGATGATGATGATGATGATGATGATGATGATGATGATGATGATGATGATGATGATGATGATGATGATGATGATGATGATGATGCCTTCTTGTGTATGGGATGCGTTTGCAGGGATGACATGAGTCCGTAGGTATCCAAGGGGGCAAATGTGGACCCTGAATGTGCGTTGGTAGTCCGGGAATATTTAGGGAAGTGGTTGTTTCCGGTGTCGGTTCTCGGCATTCAAGTCTCTGGCCTTGTTGTTCCACCCCGACCGCTTCACTTTGGTTGGAAATGCGGACAGTTGCCCGGTTTTCACGGCTATTCGTTTTACCTGTTTTGACGTTTTTTTACTAATTTCAAAGGTATTATGAGGGAGATTTGCAATGTGTTCCTTGCCTGTTTTACCGGCGGGTGACCGTAGAGTCTTTTGGTAATGCACTTGACAGTCAACCTCCCGATTTGGAACCTCCTCTGTGGTGCGATCAGTCTTGACATGACGTAGATACTCGGAGTGCATGTCAGTCCAAGCGCCCCGGCATCCTGGATCTCTCTCTATCAAGTTATTTTTTTATATTCTAAACAGTCCAAGTGACATTGGGGCAGTTTCTTTGTTTGACTTTGGCGAACTATTCTGGTCCCTACACTTTGCAATAGAGTTATTAAGCCGGCAGCCCAGTAAATTCCAAATTTCATGCTGAGAAAGTTGTTGCAAGTTACAGACCAAGTATTTTAGTCCACCAAATCGTGGTTGACCCAGGATGTCTGAGACGGTACCACGTTGTCGATGTCGATGGTCCTAGTAATGACGCTGCGCAGGTAAGTAAATTGGTCCATCGTTGCTGTGCGAACGCCGCTGACGATTGCCGTAGGTTCGGCATATTCAGTAGCCGAAACGGCCTAGTGATTGATGACCATTTTATATGTGTTGATAGCTATTAAAATGTCACCGGGTTCATAGGCGAGAATGTCCAGATTTCGTTTTCGTTGTGGTATTTAGTGCACAGTCCTCGGCAGAGAGACGGTTATGTATCCTGTTCTTTGAATTTTTTCTACCAACCTGTGGTTTGTCGAAGCCTGCCTGATCCACCCGGGAGGCGTCCACCACCATTTCAGGGGATGTGGAAGTAAATAGAGTGGGAACGAGTACGCGGCCCAACTGTTCCCTATTTGCCACCAAGACTGACCGCAAACTTGCCTGATCATCATAATGAACCATCCGGGATATTAAAATTCCCTCTTTATTTTCCAGAGGCCGACTCCGCTCGCGGTACCGAGACCCACAAATTCGGCGGATGATGACACTCAACTGCTGATCTTTTTTCAATACTTGCCGGTCTATACAGCACACAGCAATGGCTCACACGTTTCCCAGGAATCCTAATGTAGTTTCTGGAAAAAATCCTTGTTCGCAATTGAAATTTAGACAAATGGGTAGCAGGATTCAAGCGAAATTTTTGCCAGTATCATCGAGATAGGTGATTCTCCAGGGACCGTAGCAGACTGCCCTATTTCCGTTTTGTTTGCATCAATGAAATATGGGCGCCTCCTTGAAATCACAACGGATTCGTCCTGGAAGCCGTCATCTGACTAAAACCATGCAAAGAACACACGCCCCGCCTTCTATCCAAAATGTGTTTATGTAAATATAAAATGCCCATCGGAATGAGCAAGATTCCTGTGAATTAAACCCGTCGTTCCACAACGCATGTGGCTTGTGCCATATGTGCACAGAACGCCCACTTAGATAGCATTTGCTATGGAAAACGCACAGAATCGGCTGTTAAACTATCTTTAAACGGCTGTGACCCAGAGATCGAACAGTCGTAAATGTGCTAAGAGAAGCTAAGAATTGAGTTTCAGAAAGTAGTCGCGAATAAGGAGGCACGATTGCTGAATCAAGACCTTTATCAGCCTGACCTTTCGGATTCTCACCTGAATCCAGCATCAGAGACGAAGCTAGATGATGGATTCGAGCGAGAATCCGATACGTCAGGTTAATAAAGCTCTTGTTCCAGCAATCGCCCCTCCTTCTCCGCAATCATAAATTACTAGGATTCTGTGTTTGGGCGGTCACCTAGCAGTTACAACACCTGACCAGTCAGTTTCAGGTGTAGCAGGGTAATCCTTTATACGATATGGAGGACTTCAAGAAGCCTAGGCCACCAAGCTGTAATTAATTCATCATAAATGAAATAAAGAGTTCATAGGTTACTCGTACGATGGCGTCAGTGCCATGTCAATTTTAAAAAAGAATCTGACCGCTAGGTAACCCACGCACCTACGTCTATCTTGTATCTGCGGACATAGGTCGCAAAGAAATCTCAAAGTCAGTAAAGCCGGTAATGGCTTCCTGACTTTGTTTGAGAGTGAAGACCCTCAAAAGTGCATAAACAGGGATTTGCACCCATATAAAGTTGTGCTCGGCTCAACAACATATTCCGTCTTAAGTGGTTCGATTTAAGACTCGAAAGTGACTTGGGAAGTACCGTCGCCAAAAGACTAGGGAGCTTGGAATGGTCATCTCTGACTTAGACGCCATCGTCAGCCCGTCACGCCGCAAGTCGACGTCCGAAAGGCCCAAGAGTCCAACCTGAATGCCGCTGGTCATTGTGTCAAACGCTCTTAGTCTTCGTTGTTAACCCGCACCAATTGCTGACTGCTCGTCTCCATGAGACCGAGTACGATAGTTCTAAACCAGAAATGTTAAGGCAATGCGGAATGCATGTAGTCGGTCCCATAACCAGGTAATCTACATGGCTAAACAGAAACTATTTATTGACTATTTTCGTATATTCTGCTGTTAAAACAAAGATTCGAAGTTTAAAAGCAGTGGCTTTTAGAAAACGCTTTGTTTAACGGCATAAAACATGTTCGCCAAAATATGTCAGGTTTGGTAAGACTGCAAAATTCCAGTTTCTTTTTATGATTTCGCGTAGAAGCTTCCCCGTTACTTTATTTAGCACTTTTAAGCTGATATGATCGAAGTTTTCAGTGAGACATTCCTGCGTAAACAAGATGAGCCGCCATCACTTCGAGAAGTAACAGAAGGAGGCCTAATTTTATGCAGCAATCGGAAATTTTCTTTCATACCGACTCTAGACACATCCGTTAGACAGATAGGCGGAGACAACAGGTCTGAAACAAAGGAAATATAAAAAGTCCTAATGGCTGCCAGGGCGACACAGTGTTTTGCAATACAAATTCGTGACAAAAGGCACGTCTACTGGGACAGTACCTCAGAGCCTCCGCCTTCATCAAAATCCGCCCTTTACTTCCACTCGAGAATAAATTATTCTGACTTCCAGAAAATATTTTAGCTACTGCGCAGTCTTTCATTTCTTAACAATTGAACTAATTATGAAATGGGCATGTCTGTCGCCCTACCGAAATTGCCTCATCATCAAATACATATCCTTCAGACAGAGACAGTCTGACTCCTACACTTCGGACTCCAGTTGGCTATGCAGTCAAAACCCACCCCACTCGTCCTCTGTTAGGGCCTTTTCCCACACAGACCCAACCGGTTTGGATAGCAGCAACTCGTTGACGAGCAATTAAGCCGATCGGTCCTCCTGCCAGCTCGCCCGCTAGGTCTCCGCGCGGAAGGCCGACCACAGTATTTGCCGCCTAGCCTGATTCTCCTCCCCCTCCTTCCCCCACCCCCACCCCCTACACTCATCCGTCCTCACCTCACCTCCCGGTTGCTTCGAATTTCATCAATCATCTTTTCGAAGCCTTTCACCTCGGGTGTGGTGAGAGGCGAAGGAGGGCATTTGCCTCATTTGTTTTGACGGCCTGTCTATTATGCAGTTTATCGGACTAATTTGAGTCTTCTGCGCATGAATGCCTGCGCAGTTACACAAACCAACAGTCTGGTTTCCCATTGCAAGACAGATGCAATAAACTCGAGGTGTT